AAATAATCAATGGAAACTGAATATCCTAATTGATATGAGAGAGCAGGAGTGGCTATACTTTTCAAACAAATGTCACAGAAAGAAATTACCCCTTGCTGGGCACAGTGGCTCACAACTGTAATCGTAGCATTTTAGAAGGCAGAGGCAGGTGGACTGCTTGATCTCAGGAGTTTGAGACCACCCTGGGCAACATGACAAAACCCCATCTCTAAAAGAATACCAAAAAATTAGCCTGGCATGGTGGCATGCACTTATAGTCCCAGCCACTCAGGAGGCTGGGGCAGGAGGATCACATCAACCCAGGAGGTCAAGGCTGCAGTGAACCCAGATTACATCACTGCATTCAAGCCTGGGTGATAAAGTGAGATCCTCTCAAAAATAAATACATGTGTGTATATATGTGTGTGTGTGTGTGTGTATATATGTACATATATACACACACACACACACACATATATACACACACACATATATATATACACACACAGATGTATTTATTTTATATATATTATACATATATAAGCCCTTAACTCTTTTCAGCTACCCCATTATCAGCAAATACCTTCTTAGCAATTGCTTGGCAGCCAAGTCAACTAGAACTGGAACTAGAATGACATAAGATTTTCTCATTCTAGATTTTGAGATGAACTAGATTTTCACAGAGCGGATCCTCAATGAATGTTTGAAAGAAGGTGTCAGTTCGATGTTTAATTTGATCAAAGAAAGAAATATAAGGTTAAGACATTAGGGCCTTGTCAGGCTGTTCTGCATTTCCGTATCAGCCAGACTCTCAACCATTTTCTTGCTGTATGTAAACATATGGCCCAGTTTGTAATCAGTGGGCTGTAGGAAGCTAAAGAAATTACCTTTTCTTTCATAGAAAATCATTTGGAAATAGGGACCCAGGTATTAACCGTCTAGCAGCAAAGTTGTAGGAATCTTTAGTCTCTTCTGCCTCCCTTCTACCATCCCTCTACTCTGTCTTGACCCCACCCCACTCCTTATTTGTTTTTTCTTCTATTCATTTTCTTCTCCCTCCCTCCTTCCTCTCCCCCTCCCCACGTGGGAACCATCAGGGCCCTCACCAGGGCGCTCAGTTCAGGTTCTGGGTCAGCCCTTGCAGCTCTACCAGTCCCTCCCCCAAGCCCAGGAAAAGCTGCTCCTTATTTGGAGTCACAAAAATATTTAACAGAGATCTGACTGTGAGTATTAAAGAATGCCTCCTTTAAATCAAACACCTAATCAACTGTTTTCCCCCAAGATATATGTAAAAACAGCTGTAATTGAAACCTGTTTCTCACTTTAAGAAAGAAAGATTCCTGTTTAGTTTTCTCCACTTTCATTGTTTCTTTCTAGGTCCAGGGCCTCCCACTAAACGCTGACGACTGCCTGCTTCAAACCCTGCCACATCAGCAGGGAGGGAGCCCAGCAGCATTTGGTATTTGCATCAGTTTCCAAGAATGCTTTTCAAGTTATCAGTTCACTCTGCTGCCTTTAGCAGAGATGTTTTTTCTCTAAGTTTATAGATGTATGCTTGTTCTCAAAAACTTGCCGAGGATTTTTCTTTGTTAGCTAAAAGAGAAATTATAATACACATCTAAAAACATTCTACATTTTAAACTATTTTGGCCACAACAAAACCTACAATGAAATGTTTAAAATCTTGGGTATCTATTGCAATTCCAGTGATTGAGCCAACTTGACCCCAGAAGCTTTATCAGATAACCTCACTGATGGGTATTTGGAGGGTTTCTTTCATAAATCTGTTGCATTATGACCCTGAGTCATTTTGCTCAGAATTAGTCTCTAACTCTCAGCAACACAGGACAAAGGTACACGTATGCCCTACAAAGGCAATTCAGCAGAGTGGTAACAACGATTCTTAGAAATTATTGCTCATTGTTCTGAAATGCAGGGGAATAAACGGTGTTATGATGTAGTATTAAAGTTTTTCTTTCCTGATAAAAATGATTTCCACTAAAAGCTTTTTTTAGTTCTGTAATGGCGATATTTCAGGGAAAGGGTAAAAATGTTCTTGGAATACACAATTAAACTTCAGGTCTTTTGTTGTTGTTGCTAGAACCTAGAAAACTTCAAACATTGTTGCCTAGTTAGAAAAAAAAATACTGAATGTGGATTCTTCCTTTGTAAACCCCCTTCTAGGACTGACCAGACACCCTTTCAAGTTCTTTCACTCCTAGTTACTTCAAAAATCACCCAAGGTTATATCTGAGAAGAGTTTATTACAGTTTTTTGTTATCCAGTTTTACTTTCATTAACTTTTTTTTTACCTTTAGAAAGAGTAACCTGCTTTAGAATATTCAGTCCCTTTTATTTACAGAAGTTACTGATAGAGTTAACTTCTGCAGAAATTCTTCCTTAAGGCAAAGCAAAAAAGGGGGAGGGAGATGGGGGGAAGAAAGGGAAAAAGTTTCTCAAGGAACTACAGCCCACTCATTTCTGTTTCTTAGAGACAGAACTGACCTAAAGATGCCCCCTTTGCGATGACTTCTGGGATAGGGCAGCACTCTCGCTAGGCTCTTGCTACCTCACTGGGGGCCAAGCAGAGGAGAGGGGACACACATGGACACACACACGCACACACATGCAGATAAGGCCTTTCAAACCTAGGGCCTGGAATGCATCCCACGAGGCTTTAGAAAAAGACACAGGACCTTTGGCCTCCCACCTCAGGGTCAAGGTACCAGCTCCTCCTCTCCCTAGTAGGGAGTGGAAGGTTGGACGAGGCAGTAACAGTCCCCATCCCCAGGAAAAGCTGCTCCTTATTTGGAGTCACAAAATTATTAAACAGAGATCTAACTGTGAGCATTAAAAAATTCCTCCTTTAAAACAAACGCCTAATCAGCTATTTTCCTCCAAGACATATGTAAAAACAGCTACAATTGAAACCTGTTTCTCACTTTAAGAAAGAAAGATTCCCGTTTAGTTTTCTCCACTTTCATTGTTTCTTTCTAGGTCCAGGGCCTCCCACCAAATGCTGACGACTGCCTGCTTCAAACCCTGCCACATCAGCAGGGAGGGATGTTGGGTGTTGGGGAGAGAGTTAACATCCACTTTGGTGGGGGCACTGCTTGGGGTGTTACCAGCGAGGACTACGAAGACCCCAAGCTCGAATTAGAAGGCCCTCTGGATGTGCTAGGCGTTTTCTCCTTGGTGAGGAGAGGAGTTAGGGTGAAATCGGATAGGTGCTTGGGTGTGGCTGTAAGAGATGGGACAGAGAATAGGCAGCAAGGTCAAGGGAGATCCGGGGCTCACAGGAAGGTAGAGGGGTCCAGGCTCAGGATAGAGCTGGTAAATCCAGACAAGGAGCCCGTGGAGAAGAGGAGAGCAGACTGGAAATCATGAAAGATCCCCCACCGCAGCCTCAGAAAGGATAGACTGAGAAAGAGGTTCTCGGTCTCCAGGTCGGTTGCAGTCATTTCGGAATGTCGGATAACCCCCCAAAAAAACCCTAGAATTAACCTCAGCAAAGGCAAGCTAGGAGGTCGAAGGACCTTCCCAGGCGACTTGGTCTAGTCTAGAGTTTGCAAAACCTATCCTCCCTGTAGCCAGGTGCCGAGCAGCCTGGAGCCTGCTGCCCAGCCCACGTGCCAACAAAAGGCGTCCTCCGACTGCAGCTCAGCCCTGCCTTCGGGAAAGACCTCTCTTTCCCGAAGTCGTAAGAGAAAGAGAGTGCATCACTGCTGAAACAGTGGGCTCACAGAGCCCCAAAACTGGAGAAAAGCTGGACGGGGCTGGGGGCGGGGTGGAGGGGTGGAGGGGTGGAGGGGCGGGGAGGCCTGCTCCGGCTGCGCCACGCAGTCAAGTCTTCCCTCCCTTCTTCCCTCCCCCCTCCGAGCCCGCCGGAGCCCTCCACCCTACAGGTGGCCTACAAGGCACAGGTGAGGCAGGACTGGACAGCTCCTGCTTTGATCGCTGGGCTCCCGATCCCTCTCTAGCTGCTTGGCTGCCCGGAGATCTGCAAACTCTGCCCACCTCGGGGCTGCAGAGCTCTCCGACGTGTCCCATAGCGTTTCCAAACTTGGAAACTGGAGGGGGAGGGAGGGCGGGAGTATGGGGAGGGCGGAGGTATGCAGACAGCGAGTCAGAGTTTCCCCTTGAAAGCCTCAAAAGTGTCCACTTCCTCAAAAAGAATGGAACCAATTTAAGAAGCCAGCCCCGTGGCCACGTCCCTCCCCCGATTGCTCCCTCCTCTGCGCCCCCGCAGTCTCCTCCCAGCTGTGGCTGCCCGGGCCCCCAGCCCCAGCCCTCCCATTGGTGGAGGCCCTTTTGGAGGCATCCTCGGGCCAGGGAAACTTTTGCCGTATAAATAGGGCAGATCCGAGCTTTATTATTTTAGCACCACGGCAGCAGGAGGTTTCGGCTAAGTTGGAGGTACTGGCCACGACTGCATGCCCGCGCCCGCCAGGTGATACCTCCGCCGGTGACCCAGGGGCTCTGCGACACAAGGAGTCTGCATGTCTAAGTGCTAGACATGCTCAGCTTTGTGGATACGCGGACTTTGTTGCTGCTTGCAGTAACCTCGTGCCTAGCAACATGCCAATGTAAGTGCCTTCAGCTTGTTTGTGGGAGATCGGGGAGAAAGGTTAGATGGAAGGGCACCCTGCTCTGGAAAGGAAAACCTATAACCTGAATTCCAGGTACACTTGGAGGGCAGGCTCTCCGGCATGAGGGAAAACGCCGGAATCGATAAGAAACATGGAAATTACTTTTAAAAATGAAACATAAAAGGCTCGCAAAGAGTTAGGGAACTTTTCCTCTAAGTTCAGAGTGAGACACTTAACCCATCTGGATCCTCAGCTTAGTAACCCCCAAAGGGAGCAGAAGGTCTTTTCCCTAAGGATGAGCTATTAACAACTAGTGTGGTGGAGGAACTCAAGGGCCTGCACCCGACAGGCCCCATAAACGCACTGATGTCCACCTTGTAAAACTTGAGGCCTGCATTAGAAAGTCCTTCAAATAAGTAACGTAAAACTCACCTCCTAGGAGCTTTTATCTTCTGGGCATTATAAGGGCTTGTCTGGAGGAGGAGGAGGAGGAGGAGGAGGAGGAGGAGGAGGAGGAGGAAGATGATGATGATGATGGTTATTAGGCGCCCTCTGGAGGAAGGAAAATGAAAGTACAGGGGACCAGGCCTGAAGCAAATGGAATCCCAATTAAAGCTTCTACGGGTTTATACAGATGAATGATCAACGTTTCTGGTTGGAGCCTTTCCCCAGTGGCTAGTCAGTGAACCCTGGAAAGGAGAATAGATGCTACTTGGAATAGTTACATTCTGAAAAGTAATATTAGTGTCTCAATTCACTTTCTGGTCATGGAAATAGTAACATTTTTAAACTAACATTCTCTCTAACTTTTGTTAAGCCTGAGAATTATCCCTTTGACATATTCACACTGATAATCAAACGTTATGAACGCAGCAAGTTGAGAAATATCAACATTGACACGAGACTCAAGAGACCGGGGTTCTTCTCATAACTCTGACACTAATTTGTCGCGTGGCCATGGGCAAGTCAAACTGCCTTTTCTAAAATGTGAGACAGAGATTAAAGGGACTCCAAGGCCACTTTCCAGCTCTAGGTTTTATGGCCAGACTTTCATGTCATGATAGAATGAAGAAGATCACTCCGTTTTCGTCTTGAAAATGGCTGCCAAAGTACTAGACAGAGATATTGACTAGATGGGGGATGGTAGAGTCTGACCACACCCAGTACTCCAAAAAGTTGCTCCTCCCACATAGCACGGGGTCTACCACCGCATAATTACTAATGCATTTGTGTGTGAGGGGGGTGGTTCCCCCTTCATTCACTTTTAGTGTACACACTGGATACTAGGGAGTAATTGCAGTGAACCAGTGAACAGATTCACATTACCAAGTTCATATGAGAGCTAAGAGTGGGAGGAAAGAGTGTTGACTCATAGAGATTAAAATGAAAGCAGACTTAGGGAAATTTGAAGGTACAAAGGCAACTTACCTTCTGATCAACAGTCAACCACAGTCTCGAATAAATGTTATCAAACATGCATTCTTCAAAATGGTCCACGTCTGTGTAATCAAAAGGCAAATTTCCAAAATCATAAGGACTTCCGTTAATCAAGTCAGGCATAATTATTCTTCCTACCGATGGACACAATGAAGTGAACGTATCATTCTTGTAATTTAACAGTAATGCTCATAAATTGCCCTTAAATGTCAGTGCTGGATGTGGTCCACCCTCCTGAATTGTAACTATTGAAACAGATGTTCTCACTTCAAATAACGCACTTTTTGGCCACCTAATGAAAGCAATTTTTAGGGGTGATTCATCCTATTGCAAGCTTGGCCAAACTTGTATCCTGTATTAACCTATAATTTTTATACTGTAGGAGAGGAATTCACTCTTTAAGGACTCATAGCAATTATGGCAAAAGGGAGGATATTACTTTCGTTTATTTTTTCTATTTATTTTTCAAGATCTTTAATCCACAGTTTTTCCATTTATACAAAGCCCTTTCTTAGCGACAAAAATGATACATATTGGTAAAATGACCTTGCCTAATTTAAGTGAATTAATTTAAAGTAAAATTCAGATGTCCGAATTAATTCATTTTCATAGTTAATAATGTGCAATTTAGACCTTTTGAAAAAGGATATTAAGAATGGTACGAAGTCAGTGAAGTACTAGGTAACTTCAATGTTTTATAAAAAATTAAGTCCACTTCAATGTTTCATAAAAAACAAATTCAATATAGAATTTTAAGGTAACATACTTTCCTAAATTTTACCTTTTTTAGATATTTAGATATTAAAAACGAATTAAACCATAAATTATTTCTTCATCAATCTACTAATCTTGTCTTACACTCAGTGATTCATCCGTGCACATTACCAGCTTAATTGCTAAGCATTCAAAATTTCCTTCAGACACATTAATATTTCACAGCATTTATAAAATAGTAAATAATTAATTTAATTCAAAATATATTTACATATTAATATTGCAAACACATCACCCTGCTGATCCCTGCCATACATTTGACCTGCATAATTTCCAAGTCATCAAAATAGTCTTAATAAAAAATATAATTGTTCCTTTAATTAGGTAACTCAATTTTATTAACATGTGTCTCTATTTGTTAATTATTGCTATTGATCCATGAAGCAATACTAATAATTATTTCTACTTTTTTTTCTACAGCTTTACAAGAGGTGAGTAAAATTGTTTTTGGAATTTTTATAAATACTTTGATTTCCTTGGCTACAGTGGTGTCTTCTCTTGGAAGGGAAGAAGTTACATTAATATTGAACAACCTGGATTCCCAAGAAAATTGTGAAGAATTATGATAGTCAAAACCTTTCTGGCTGCCTTAGAAAGTACCCACCCTATTTTCCAAAATGGGTGGGACTACTGAATAAGGCTACCTTTATAAAATACTCTCAAGAAACGTAGAGTAAATAATCCAATAGAAATTTAAGTTTTAGGATCAGCTACTGTGAAGCAGAAGACTTCAGTGAGCTAGAGAATCTTTTCACTCCTTTGGAATCATTTGCAAAAGCATTTATTATGAACACATTCTTAGCTCATGAATTGAATTTGAGGCATAATTACAGATAAGTATTAATATATATATTTGGTTCTGTAGGTACATATTTTTATTTGACTTACCGGTAAAATTTTAAATTGTAGTTTGAAATATTAAACTAAGATAACAGTAAATGTGTAATATAATGTACTGTGAAGGTACATTTGTGTACTACACCAAAATTGAAGCTGTTTTTAAATACAATTTTCTTCATAATAATCTTTTATTTATTCTTTTCTAGGAAACTGTAAGAAAGGTAAGAGTACAACACTTCTTCGTAAATATATAAAATTATCAGGGATAACATAATTTAACTAAATTTATAGTAGACTATAGAAGAAAAATACTTTATCAAGATTTTGCTTACATGAATATGCATTAGCTAAAGCATAAAATAAAGGAGTTTGATGTTTAAGATAACAGTTTTATTATCTTCCGGAATCATCTGTAATTGCATTTATATGATACAAATTGGTGATTTACATACAAAAGAAAAAAAACTTATTTTATTCTGGAGATGGAAGGCATATTATGTTAATTGTAGGTAGTAAAAAAACTTATTTTAAAGGGCTTTGACTATATAAATGTGCTGTTAAAAATGTAACAAAATGGTCATTTCATCTACAATTTTCATCTTACTCAAAATGCTGTGCATAGTATTAACTTAATAGCTGGAGACTATGCAGATTCCAGTCCCCAGTTGAAAAAAATTATAATATAATTATAATAAAAAACAATATACTTTTATCTATTGCATTATGCCAATTTTTTATGTACTATCTAATAACATTGTAGTTAGATCAATCTTACCGACTAATTACTATCAAGAATGATTTGCTCATTCACTGGAAATTACTTCTTAGACATTTATTATTGTGCTGTTTGTATCTTTCTTGTAGGGCCCAGCTGGAGATAGAGGACCACGCGGAGAAAGGGTGTGTAATGTTTGAACCATAAAGGGCTTTGGCCCATGTTTGAATAACTATGTATTAGAAACTACAGGAACTGGCAATCTATAAGACTATTATATATCCAGATAATTGTATACCCCTTTAAACAGATAATACACTGCAGAAGAGGTGAATGAGCATTATTATATATAATCAATATTTGTTTTAGGTCAAAATTATCCCTTAAAAAAGCAAAACTGTTACAGTCATATTCTTTGCATGGTCTGCGTTGTTTGTAATTGACCTGTCCAACACATGCATAATGAAAATGTATCTACCTACCACCACAGTCCTCTTTTTAATATATTTGGTTTGCTTTTGAAGTAAGATCCCTTAGGTAGCTTGGGAATAATAGTGAACAAGTAATCAGTAACATGTTTCTCTGCTCAAATTCATACATGTACAAGTCAGGCTTACATTTTGTTTGTGGCATTGTAAAATCTCCTTGCTATGCTTATTTGACGTTTATAACTACGTGATTTTGCATTATATAACACTTTTGCCAATACATAAATACCTATATCTTATATCTATTAGGGAAGTGGAGACTTACATGTATTCCACTCAAACAATTTATTATAAGTAGAATTATATCAGTTAATTATTTTAACAATACAAGGTAATTAATGGTAGGAAAAATGCAGGATTTTCTATCCTATGATAAAGTGATTTTATTAACTGTCATATCAATTCATCCATTCACATGTAACATACCGAAACAATTGAATAAGTTCATCACAGTCAGAGATCAGGAATAAAAATTCAAAGTAAATCCTTGTGCACTGTTAAACATATGAAGCGCACGGAAACATACATTTTGGCTCTAATTTCTACATTTGAATACTGGAGCTTCAGTATGAATTAATATTCAATGGCTGAGACAGTTCTTTAGGAAAACTACCCTGTGATGTCTTGAGAGTTACTAACCCTTTTTGTAAAATAGACTCATAAGTGAATTTCAATCAATGACAAATATAGTATATTCAGTTTCCACCCTACTTTCACATAGAAAGAGCCAAACAACTGATTCCACGGCATATAATTCTAAGGTTTCTACAGGGCCTGTCTAACCATGACCTTATTCACTTTTTACATAACAGGGTCCACCAGGCCCCCCAGGCAGAGATGGTGAAGATGGTCCCACAGGCCCTCCTGGTCCTCCTGGTCCTCCTGGCCCCCCTGGTCTCGGTGGGGTAAGGTGTCTTCAGTATTGCTAACTTTTAGCTAACTTTAGTTTCTTATGCCTCTGTTGAAAGAAGGCTTATTGTGGAATTTATTTTTAGCAGTTAAGGGATAGTTCTTCTATTTGAAAATTAGTATATTTTATTTCATTTATTTGGTTTCTTCAGTCAAGATTCTGCTTTACCCATTCTCTTTGTGAGCCCTTGTCAATTACAGGACTGGTTTTTGTGTGCACTGAAGTTAGCTGTGGCCATCATTACCATTATTTAATTTGGAGATTTAATATCTTTTATCAGTAAGGCACAAATA